GACGACGACGAGCTGCTGCAGGTCCCGCGTTTGGTGCCCACGTGGGAAAAGCCCATAATAATTGGCCGCCACGCCTTCGGCGATCAGTACCAAGCGGTGGAGTTCCGCGTGCCGGGGCCGGGGACTGTGAAAATAACTTACACTCCCGAGGACGGGTAGGGTTTAGGGTTTAGGGTTTAGGGTTTAGGGTTTAGGGTTTGGGGTTTGGGGGTTGGGTTGGGGGCTGGGGTTGGGGCAGGGGCTGGGCGCGCGAGGCGCAGCAGCGCGGGAGCCGCGGCGCGCGGCGCGCCGCGCAGCTAGGGTTTAGGGTTTAGGGTTTAGGGTTTAGGGTTTAGGGTTTAGGGTTTAGGGTTTGCGGCGCAGGGGTCCCGGCGAGACGCGGGAAGTGCACCGGTTCGAAGAGGGGGGGGTTTGTCTGGGGATGTTCAACCAAGACAGCAGCATAAGGAGTTTTGCTGCTGCTTGTTTTTGCTGCGCCTTGGAAGCAAAAATGCCTCTTTATCTTTCCACCAAAAACACAGTTTTGAAAACTTATGACGGAAGATTCAAAGACATCTTTCAGGAACTCTACGACAAACAGTACAAGCAGCAGTTCGAGAAGCTCGGCATCTGGCAAGTCTGCTGCTGCTGCTGCTGCTGCTGCTGCTGCTGCTGTTGCTGCAGTGCTGCGGTTGCTGCTGCTGCGGAGCTGCTGCTGTTGCTGCTGTTGCTGCAGTGCTGCTGCTGCTGCTGTGGTTGCTGCTGTGGTTGCTGCTGTTGTTGCTGCTGTTGTGGTTGTTGCTGCTGTTGCTGCTGCTGCTGGGGATGCTGCAGTGGGTAAGGATGCGGAAGAGGGGGTTGCTGTTGCTGCTGTGGCTGCTGATGTTGCTGCTGTTGCTGCTGCTGCTGCTGCTGCTGCTGCCTCGCTCTCTCACTGCTACCTTTTTGTTTCTTTTTCTCCCTTATTCCTCTTTCATTTTTCTTTTGATTTATTTTAATTTTATTTTAATTTTATTTTAATTTTATTTTGATTTTATTTTCCTTTTTTTCTGTTTTCCTTCATTTCATTTCATTCTTTTTCCATTTCATTTGATTTTTCTCCTTTCATTTCCTTTCGAATCTCTTTCATTTCCATTTTAGTCCTTTGGACTTCTTTTAATCATTTTAATTTTATTTTAATTTCATTTTAATTTAATTTCATTTTAATTTAATTTTAATTTCATTTTAATTTTATTTTAATTTAATTTTAATTTCCTTTTAATCACTTTAGTTTGCTTGGAATCTTCTGCCCACATGGCGCTGTTTCTGCAGTGCATTTGAGTCGTTTTTTTTCCAACTTTTTTGTTTTTTGTTCATTTTTGTTGCTTTTTTCTCGAATTTGAGTTACTTTTTGGATTCTAATTGAATAAAGTTGAATAAATTGGAAATAAATTCGAAAAAGCTTCCAAACGAGCCGCTTTCTGTCCACTTTGCAGGTACGAGCACCGCCTAGTGGATGACATGTTTGCCTACCTTTTGAAGTCCCGCGGGGGCTTCGTCTGGGCCTGCAAAAACTTCGAAGGAGACTTGGGAAGTGATTTGGTGGCTCAAGGGTTTGGGTCTTTGGGGATGATGGTATCTTTTCTGGAGTCTGCTGCAGCAGCAGAAGGAGCAGCAGCAGCAGCAGATGGCGCAGCAGCAGCAGCAGCAGCAGCAGCGTTTGCTGCGGAAGCAGCACACGGCACTGTGCGCAGACACTTCCTGCTGCAGCGCAGCGGCTGCAGCGCCAGCAGCAACCCCGTGGCCTCGGCCTACGCGTGGGCGCGGGGGCTGCTGCGGCGGGGGCAGCGGGACAGCAACTTGCTGCTGCAGCAGTTTGCTGCTGCTCTCGAAGCAGCTTGCTGCAGCGCCATCGAGGCTGGAGTTATGACCAAAGACCTCGCCACTGCCATCAAAGGAGATAAAGTTTCCGAAAAGGATTATGTTGACACCAAACAGTTCATCAAGGAAGTCCAGAAGCACCTCGAGCAGGCCCTAGTCAAACTCGGAGTCATCACTGAGTAGCAGCAGCAGCAGCAGCAGCAGCAGCAGCGGTGCGGGGGCTGCAGCAGCAGCAGCAGCAGCGGCAGCAGCAGCGGCAGCAGCAGCGGCAGCGGCGCGGGGGCTGGCGCAGCAGCAAGGAGTGAGGCGGTGGCAGGTGCAAGAGCAGCAGCAGCAGGTGCTGCTGCAGCAGCACTAGTGCAGCAGCAACTGCAGCAGCAAGTGCAGCAGCAAGTGCAGCAGCAAGTGCAGCAGCAGGTGCAGGAAGATGAATGGACAAAACTAAGGAGAAGACACATAAAAGGAAGCAAGTAAGAAAAGAAAAAAAGAAAAAGTGGCAGAAAGGAATAAAAAAGAAAATAGAAAAAAAAAGAATAAAAAAAAAGACCAATGGACAAACAACAGACACAAAAATATATGTCCCAACAAGTTTGCTGCTGCAAATAGCTCTTGCTGCTGCACCCGGAGGTGCAGCAGCAGCAGCAGCAGCAGCAGCAGCAGCAGCTGCAGCAATTTGCTGCTGCAGCCTGCGGGCCCCACAAGTTGAGGTGTACGTACACTGCACCTCAGGTGTACGTACACCTGAGTTCTTCCGCCGCTGCCTGAAAAGCACTTTTATGAAAACTGTTAATTCAGAAATCTCAAATAAACCTTTAACATCAAAACTAACAATTTATTCACTCCTCCTTGAAGCCAGCTAGCTGTAGCTAGCTGCAGCTAGCTACGGCTTGCTGCAGCTAGCTGAGCCTAGTTGTGGCTAGCTGCAGCGAGCCGTGGCTAGCTAGTAGTAGCTAGCTGCAGCGAGCCGTGGCTAGCTAGCAGTAGCTAGCTGCAGCGAGCTGTGGCTAGCTAGCAGTAGCTAGCTGAGTCTGGCTAGCTGTGGCTGCCACTAACTGCGGCTAACTATGGCCATCCCTGGGAAGCTGCAGCGAGCTGCAGCTAGCTGTAGCTACCCGTAGCTAGCTACAGCTAGCTGTAGCTAGCTACAGCTAGCTGCGGCGAGCTGCAGCTAGCCGTAGCTACCCGTAGCTAGCTGTAGCTAGCTGCAGCGAGCTGCAGCGAGCTGCAGCTAGCCGTAGCTACCCGTAGCTAGCTACGTACAGCTAGCTGTATCTAGCTGCAGCTAGCTGCAGCTAGCTGTAGCTAGCCGTAGCTAAGAATGCCCCTATTGGTACCTAGGGCCCCATGGGGCCTCAGGCCCTCCAAAGGGGCCCCTAGGTAGCAGCTGGGGGCCCCCTTAAAGAACGGAAAGGATCTCTGGGGCCTCAAGGGGGCCCCCTGAGACCCAGGGGGGCCCCCTAAGACCCCTGGGGGCCCCCCAAGACGCCAGGGGGCCCCCCTGCGGTCTTGGGGGCCCCCAAGGGGCCCCCTAGGGTCTGGGAGGTTCTTAAAAGCCCTAAAGTGACCTTAAAGACACTCAAAATGCCCCCTGAGGGCCCTTAGGGGCCCCTGTTGAGCCCTGGGGGCCCCCCTGATCTGCTTTGGGGTGGGGGGGCCCCTGCTGCTTCTTTTTGCCATTTCAGGGTGGATTTGACGGAATTAAATGTTTAAATTTATTTTAAATTAAAAATAAATATTTTTAAAAAGAAAATTTGGATTTTAAATGCAGAAAATGACAGAAAACGACATTTCAAACAGACCCGACAGCCACGGCAGACCACCCCAGTGTCTTGCCACCCCAGCGCCTGGGCCATCAACTCAAACCCTAAACCCTAAACCCTAAACCCTAAACCCAAAACCCTAAACCCTAAACCCTAAACCCTAATATCCAGGTGGCCCTTTAGTTGGCGGTTGAATATATTAAAGACCAGCACGGGGGCCCCGGCTGCTGCTGCTGCTGCTGCTGCTGCTGCTGCGCTGCGGCGGTAGGGGGGCCCCCCTGACCCCTCAGTTGCAATTTGTGTGTCTGAGTTGATTTTGAATTAAATTTGAATTAAATTTGAATTAAATTTGAATTAAATTTGAATTAATTAAATTAATTAAATTAATTTTGAATTAATTGATTTTATTTTCGGAAAATAAAACCAATAAAGGGCCCCAGAGCCTCAGCTGCGAGCCGCCGCCAACCGGGGCCCCCCAATGGCCTAGCGGGGCCCCTGCTGCTGCTGCTGCTGCTGCTGCTGCTGCTGCTGCTGCTGCTGCTGCTGCAACGCGGTGTACGCACATTGGCAGCTGCTTCAGAGTCAAATAAACAGCACCGGCAAGCGTGCTGCTGCTGAAAGAATTGCTGCTGCTGCTGCTGCTGCAGCAGGAGCTGCTGCAGCAAGAGCTGCTGCAGCAGATCTAGCAGCACCTGCGTCAATACCGACCATGTGCAGACCAAAGAGAAAGTCCGAGCAGCAGCAGCAGCTAGACCTTGCATGCAACAAGGGGGGCCCCCCTGTGGGTATCGAATGGCCTTCGTGGCTCCCCGGGGCCCCAAGGATTCAAAAGACAGGGGCCCTGCAGACCCGCAGCAGCAGCAGCAGCAGCAGCAGCAACAGCAGCAGCAGCAGCAGCAGCAGCAGCAGAGTGGCACGACCAAGGATGTGTCTGCTAGCTCCAGCTCTTCTAAAGCACTGACAGCAGCTGCGGCGGCCCCCGCAGCAGCAGCTGCAGCAGGAGAAGCAGCAGCAGCAACAGGAGAAGCAGCAGCAGCAGCAGCAGCAGCAGCAGCAGGGCCTCCAGTGCTCGTGGAATGCTTCTATGTCTCCGGCAGCAAACTGCTGGCAGCAAAAGAAGTCGAAAGGATTTCCAAAAAGGTCCTGGAGGCCCAGGGGGCCCCCCTGGGTGCTGCTTTTGTTTTATCTGCTGCTGCTTTTGCTGCTGCATGCAAACAGTTTGCTGCTGCAGTGCAGCAGCTCTATGTCCGCGGCGGCTGGCTGCTGGCCACCGTCGAGCCAGTGCCCCCGCCAGCGCAGCAGCAGCAGCAGCAGCAGCAGCAGCAGCAGCAAGAGCAGCAGCAGCAGCAGCAGCAGCAAGAGCAGCAGCAGCAGCAGCAGCAGCAGCAAGAGCAGCAGCAGCAGCAGCTGCTGCGGGTGGAGTTCAGGGCTAAAGAGCCGCTGCTGGACTCTCCGCCGCTTGCTGTGGAGTTCGCGCCGGCGGGGGCGGAGGAGCAGCAGCAGGAAGCAGCAGCAGCAGCAGCAACAGCAGCAGCAGCAGCAGCACCAGCAGCAGCAGCAGCAGCAGCAGCAGGCAGGACTAAAGCCAAAACTCTTGAGTGGTTTCTGGGGCTGCAGGGAGGGGCCCCTTTTAGGTGGAATGCCCAGAGGTGGGAGGCCCTCCTCAGAAGTGGTAAACTTGCTGCTGCTGCTGCTGCTGCTGCTGCTGCTGCGGCTGCTGCTGCTGCTTCTGCTGCTGCTGCTTCTCCTGCTGCTCCTGCTGCTCCTGCTGCTGCTGCTCCTGCTGCCCCTTCTGCTGCTGCTGCTGCTGCTGCTGCTGCGGCTGTGAATCATTTGGGGAAGCGCGGCGGCTCAGTGAGATGCTAGAAGAAGAGCTTTGTCGCTGTGCCCGCTGCTGCTGCTGCTGCTGCTGCTGCTGCTGCTGCTGCTGCTGCTATTGTTGCAGCTGTCGTTGCTGCTGCTATTGTTCCTTCTGCTGCTTTTGCTGCTCCTGGTCTTGTCGCGAGTGCTGCTGCTGCTGCTGCTGCTACTTCCCTTAGTATTTCTGCTGTTGCTGCTACTGCTGCTTTTGCTGCTGCTGCTGCTGCTGTTGCTGCTGCTCTTGCTAATTTTGCTGCTCTTGCTCCTTTTTTGCTGCCACAACACAACAACAACAGCAACAACAACTGCTGCTGCTGCTGCTGCTGCTGCTGCTGCTGCAGGGCTGTTTGAGAGCGCGTCTGCTGCTGCAGCACTGCAGCAAAACGGCAGCGTGAAGCTGCTGCTGCAGCTAAAGGAAAGCCAGCGGCGGCAGTTGTCTCCAGGTAAACTTTTATTTTTATTTTATTTATTTTTATTTTTTATTTCTTTTTTATTTCTTTTTTATTTCTTTTTTATTTCTTTTTTATTTCTTTTTTATTTCTTTTTAAATTCTTTTTTACTTCTTTTTGATTCTTTTTTATTTTCTTTTTTTAATTCTCTTTTAATTCTTCTTTAAGTTTTTAAAATTCCTTTTGTTTCTTCTTTAATACTTTTTTACTTCTGTGTTTCATTTTTGTTTAACAGCAGCAGCAGCAGCAGCAGCAGCAGCAGCAGCAGCAGTTCTTGCTGCTGCTGCTGCTGCTTTTTCTTTTTATTTCCTTTTTATTTATCTCTTTATTTGTCTTCTTTTGCTTTCTTTTTTATTTTTATTTTTTGTTTTTTTTTGATTGGGGATTTCTGGTTATATCTATCCTTAAGTGAATCCCCTACAAACAATCCCTAAACCCTGTTTTGTGGTTTAGTAATAAACTGCCGAGGGTTTAGGGTTTAGGGCTCAGGGACTACGGCTCATGTTTCAGGGTTCACGGTTTAGGGTTTAAAATTTAGGGTTTAGGGTTTAGGGTTTAGGGTTTAGGGTTTAGGGTTTAGGGTTTGTGGTGGCTGCTGCTCAGGCTTATCATTCGACGGCTCCCTCAAAAGGTGTTTAGCAGAAATAAAATACTTCGACAAAAATCTCGGGGGTTTAGCGTGGGCCCTAAAGGGGGCCCTAAGGCGTACCCTGGGGGGCCCCCTGGGGGGGGCCCCCAGGGGCCCCTTTGGGGGGCCCCCCCAGCAAAGCCACGCTGCGGAGCTGTGCCTTTCTAATGAGACCCTGCGGCAGCCTGCGTAAGACTTTTCTGTGCTGCAGCACTTCCAGCTAGGGTTTAGGGTTTAGGGTTTAGGGTTTAGGGTTTAGGGTTTAGGGTTTAGGGTGTCATTAAAACGTGCTCTTCAGGGGCCTCCCAGTCACACGCATAACCCTCTCCGACAAGACCTTCTTTGCCCAGGGGCCCCCGGGGGCCCCGGGGGCCCCTGGGGCCCCGGGGGCCCTGGGGGCCCCTGGGGCCCCGGGGGCCCCAGGGGCCCCCAACTCAGTGAAGGGGGGCCCCCCAGGGGGCCCCCTACCCTGTATAGGGAAGCGGCGGACAGCAGCTGCTTGGAGACTGGATGTGCCCCTAGTGGGGGGCCCCCAGGGGGCCCCCCAGGGGGGCCCCCAGGGGGGCCCCCTGGGGGCCCCCCAGGGGGGCCCCCTGGACGCGAAGTTGCTTGAAGTGTGGGGCCAGTTTGAAGTAGAAGCTTATCGAGAAGTGCTGCTGCTGCAGCCAGAGAAAAAGGGGGGCCCCCAGGGCCCTGGGGGCCCCCCCTTTTCTGTGGGGGGCCCCCCCAGGGGCCCTGGGGCCCCCCGGCAAGGCCCAGGGGGGGCCCCCCTGGCAGCAGGGTTTGGGGGGCCCCTGCAGCAGCAGCGGGAGTGGCTGGGGAAGCTGCGGGGGGCCCTGGGGGGCCCCCCTGTGATGAGTTTTGCTGCTGCTGCTGCAGACCCGCTGCTGTCGGGGGCCCCCCTTGGCCAAGACACAGCAAAAGCAACTGTCTCTTTTGCTGCTGCTGCGCGGCAGCAAAGAGACAGCAGATTCCTAGGCAGCGTGAGGCAGCACAGGGGCCCCTGCGCAGCAGCAGCAGCAGCAGCAGCTGCTGCTGCTGCTGCTGCTGCTGCTGCATAGTCCCGCTGCAGCGTCTCCTCTGCTGCTTTTTGTCTCCTTCGCTGTTTGTCCCCTTTTGCTGCTTCGTGTCTTTCCTTTTATTTTTGTCTGCTGCTGCTGCTCGCGCTGGCTGCTGCTGCTGCTGCTCTGCGTGGGCCTAGCTAGCAAGCAGCAGCAGCTAGCTAGCTGCTGCAGCAACAGCTAGCTAGCTACTGCAGCAGCTGCTGCTCGTGCTGCTAAAGTCTATACGGTTGCTGCTTCAAGGTGCCTTCCATGTGACGGCAGTGGAATGTCTCTGTTACTGCTGCTGCTGCTGTTGCTGCTGCTGCTGCTGCTGTTGCTGCTGCTGTTGCTGCTGTTGCTGCTGCTGCTTTTTGCTGCTGTAGGGCTGTGTCTTGTGTGCATGCATGCGCTTGCTGCAGCCGCTGGAAGCGTCTGTACACCTCAGCGCCGGTGTGGGGGCCTCAGCAGCGCTCACTGCTGCTTCTGTTGCAGCAGCAGCAAAAGGAGCTGCGGAGACATTGTGGGGTGCCCCAGAGTCCCCAGCAGCAGCAGCAGCAGCAGCAGCAGCAGCAGCAGCAGCAGCAGCACGGGGGCCCCTCAGCAGCAGCCCCACAGCTCAAAGGGCGCTGCGCCTCCTCAGGGCTGGAGGGGCCGCGGCGACGAAGGCGCTGACGGAGCGGCTTCCCTTCGTCGGTGCTGCTGTGCTGCAGCAGCAGCAGCAGCAGCAGCAGCAGCAGCAGCAGCAGCAGCAGCAGCAGCAGCCCTGCGCGCAGCCCTTCGTGCGGCTGGACGCTGAAGGGACCCTCAGCGTTACCCCCTATGCCTTTCTAAAGAGGCGCCCAGCCGAGTGCCTCCCAGGGGGCCCCCTGGGGGCCCCCCTGGGGGCCCCCCTGGGGGCCCCCCTGGGGGGCCCCCTGGGGGGCCCCCATGGGGGGCCCCCGGGGGGCCCCCCCCGGGGCCCTTGGGGCCCCCTCGCCCGTCTTGTAGACTGGCGGGGGATCTGCATGCAGTCCAGGTGGGGGGCCCACCTCTTTGTGGGGCCCCACTTGCTGCAGCAGCTGCTGCATGCGCGGCGGGGCTCGCTGCCTACAGCAGCAGCAGCAGCAGCAGCAGCAGCTGCTGCTGCTGCTGCGGAGGGGCCCCCTGGGGAAGTCCCCACACTTGAAGCCCGGGGGGCCCCCAGGGGCCTCGAACGTTTTGCTGCTGCTGCAGGGGCCCTCAGAGCGCCCCACACTTTCATTGTTTCTGCTGCACATTCGCTGGCTGTTCCCTTTGTTGTCAGGTAATCTGCTGCTGCTGCTGCTGCTGCTGCTGCTGCTGCTGCTGCTGCTGCTGCTGAAGGTTGGGCAGGTCTTGTGGCAGCTGCTGCTGCCGCCATGATGCTGCGGCAATTCATGCAGCAGCCACTTGCTGCTGCTGCTGCTGCTGTGCCTGCGGGCGGGCGCTCTGCGCAGCTGCAGCACTTCCTCTTGCTGCTGCGACTGCTGCTTCTCCCGTGCTGCTGCTGCTGCTGCTGCTGCTGCTGCATGCAGGCGGCAGCTATTCTACGGAAAAGAGGAGACATCAGTACCCCTTTTACTACTTCTTGTGTTTATTGATGGGGCCCTCATGCCCTTCTCCAGTTCCACAGAGGGGCCCCCAGGGTGTGGGGCGGGGGGCCCCCCTGCAGCAGCAGCAGCAGCAGCTGCTGCTACTTCACAGGCCGCTCCCGCAGCAGAAGCAGCAGCAGCAGACGCAGCAGCAGCAAGCGCTGCTGCTGCAGCAGACGCTGGGGCTGCTGGAGAGGCGGCAGCCCCCTCTGTGCTAGTCGAAGAAGAGCCGCGCAGCAAGCTAGGATCAGCAGCAGCAGCAGCAGCAGCAGCAGCTGCTGCTGCTGCTGCTGCTGCTCCCTGGCAAGCAACAGCTGGAGTTGCTCTGCGGCTGCGCCCGCTGCAGTTTGGCCTCACCTGGAATTTAAAAGCCCCAAACGAAGGCTTCCGCTTCTTCCTTCGCCTTAAACACTGATGCATGCATGCATGCATGCATGCATGCATGCATGCATGCATGCATGCATGCATGCATGGGGAGTGTCGAACGCGGCGCGAAACGGAGGAGTTTCGCGGGTGTGCATGCATTTGAGTGCATGCATGCATTTGCATGCATATATTTGAATGCGTGCATATGCATGCATGCGTTTGAGTGCATGCATTTGCATGCATGCATGCATGCATTTGCATGCATGCAGCGCAGCCGCTTCTAAAGGGGCGAGGAGTTGGCAGCTGCTGCAGAGAAACGCAGCTGCGGGGCTGCAGCTCAGAGGGGCCCACGCATGCATGCATGCAAATGCATGCATGCAGTCTGTGCATGCAAATGCATGCATGCAGTCTGTGCATGCAAATGCATGCATGCAGTCTATGCATGCAAATGCATGCATGCAGTCTGTGCATGCAAATGCATGCACGCAGTCTATGCATGCATGCAGAGGCGTGCATGCACGGCATTTAGTTTAAAGTCCGGCATGCAGCATGCATGCATGCATGCATGCATGCGTTTTGCCATGCATGCATGCATGGAGTTTCTAAAATGGACTGCTTTGCTCGTCCTTTTGGGGCTTTTCGTTTCTCCTGGCCGCATGCAGACTCGCGCTGCGCTGCTTCTACATAAACACTAATTTAGGGTTTAGGGTTTAGGGGCTGCAAGTAGGCAGCTTTTTTGGTTTTAGGGCCTCTGCTGCTGCTGCCTCTTGAGGAGTACAAAAGAACAGAGGCACCAGAGTAGAGGAAAACAAAGCAGCAGCAGCTGTTGCTGCAGCTGCTGCTGAAGCTGTTGTTGCTGCTGCTGTTGCTGCAGCAGCTGCTGCTGCAGCAACCAAGAAGAGTTAAGGTGTACCCCAAAACTTGGGGGGCCCCCTAGCCTTCGAGGGCCCCCTCCCACAGGGGCCCCCCAACAGTGTTGCATGCGACTGCATGCATGCATGCATGCAACTGCATGCATGCATGCAACTGCATGACCTTTGCATGCATGCATGTGGGGCCCCCCTCTAAGTGCAGCAGAGGCCCCTGGGGGCCCCCAGGTGAAACGCAGCAGCAAACAAATACCTAACAAATGTGCGCGTGCAGGCAATTGCCTCTAAAGGGGCCTGGGGGGCCCCAAAGGGTTTAATACTCAGCATCCACGGGCCTCGGGGGGCCCCCCAGGGGCCCCCAGGGGCCCCCTGGGGCCCCCAGGGGGCCCCCGGGGGCCCCTAGGTGGACTTCTTGGGGGCCCCTAATGCAGAAGGTGCCTTCAAAGGCGCTGTTTAAATTGGCCTTGGGGTCCTTGGGGGCCCCCCAAGAGGTTCACCTTCGAGGGCCCTTGAGGGGCCCCCAGAAGGGGCCCCCTGGGGGCCCCCAGTGGGGCCCCAGGGGGCCCCTCAGCAGGGCCCCTGGAAAGTTTGTCTGTCGTTTCTGACAATGGCAGTAATACCTGAAACTGTAGACACAGCAGAGGCGCAAGTCCAGCGAACAGTGTACGTACACCTGCGGCTTTGCATGCATGCATGCATGCATGCGCGCATGCATGCGTACGTGCATGCATGCATGCATGCATGCATGCATGCATGCATGCATGCATGCATGCATGCATGCATGCATGTGTGGGGCTTACCGAGCATGCATGCCATGGAACCGAAGATCATGGCGAGGAGGAACAAGACCAAATAGTGGTCGGCTTTCTTCCGTTTAACCTGCCCACGCAGCAGCAGCAAACGCAGCATGCATGCATGCATGCATGCATGCATGCATGCATGCACAGACTGCATGCATGCAAAGGCCGCATGCATGCATGCAAAGGCTGCATGCGTGCAAAGGCTGCACGCAAACAAAGGCTGCATTCCCGCAAGTAAGGACTGCACGCACGCACGCATGCCCCGCACCCCCCACACATGCATGCATGCACGCATGCATGCATGCACGCATGCATGCATGCATGCACGCATGCATGCATGCATGCATGCATGCATGCATGCATGCATGCATGCATGCGCAGAGGACTGACGACTTTGTCGACGAGGAACTTGCCGGCGAGGGCGGCGGCGAAGCAAAGACAAAAGAAAAGAAGACAATAGTCCCAAGGAACTGCTCCGCTGATGAGAGTTTTTGCTGCTGCGCTGCTGCTGCTGCTGAGCACTGCAGCAGTGTTGACAGCTGTCACTACAGCTGGCAGCATGCCCCGCGAAAGCATCAACGGGCCCATCACCATCGACCCTCCGATCCCCACAATGCCTCCTGACCCGCAAACCCTAAACCCTAAACCCTAAACCCTAAACCCTAGCGGCCCGCGCCCCGGCCTCCAGCAGCAGCAGTGAGCGCGGCAGCAGCAGCAGCAGCAGCAGCAGCAGCAGCACATGAACAGCCGCAGCAGCAGCACCTGCAGCAACACGCCCCCGCAAAACCCAGCAGCAGCAGCAGCAGCAGCACCAACGCGCCCCCACAAAACCCAGCAGCAGCAGCAGCAGCAGCAGCAGCAGCAGCAGCAGCAGCAGCAAGGCGCACCGACGATGCCTGCGGAGATGCTTTGGAGGTAGAACCTGAGGGCTATTCTCTTAGTGAAAATAATGTCTCCTTTGATGTGGGGTCCATTTGCTGCTGCTCTTTTTTTGTCTCTTAACACCAGCAGCAAGCCTTGGTAAGCAGCAGCAAGCAGCAGCAGCAGCGCGCCGCACACGTACAGCAGCCAGTACTCCCACCCGCAAAACGGCACCTGCGCAGCAGCAGCAGCAGCAGCAGCAGCAGCAGCAGCAGCAGCAGCGGCAAATGGAAAGCGCCAGCAGCAGTGCCTGCAGCTATCGGCTGCGCCTCTATGGACAGCAGCAGCCGGTATGGCGCTGCTTATGCTAACGTGCTGCTGCTGCTGCTGCTGCTGCTGCTGCTGCTGTTGCTGCTGCTGCTGCTGCTGCTGCTGTTAGAACAGCTGCTGGTGCCGTGGAGAAATTGCGCATGCAAAGGCGGAAGAATTGCAGCTCCAGCAGCAGCCGCAACAGCAGCAAATGCAGTCAATGCGGCAGCAGCAGCAGCAGCAACAGCAGCAGCAGCAGCAACAGCAGCAGAAACAGCAGCAAGTGCAGCAAGAACTGCAGCAGCAGCTGCAGCTTACAATGTGCATCCTGGAGTACTTGCTGCCCCTGACGACAGCGAGGCCCACGTCCGCCAGCCACAAAAACAGCAGCAGCAGCCACTTCTGCAGCAGCAGCAGCAGCAACAGCAGCAGCAGCAGCAGCAAACGCAGAAAAAATTTAACATGGACTGTCCGGACGAGATTTGTTCTGCGTAGCAGAAAAGCTCGCAGCTGCAGCAGCAGCAGCAGCAGCAGCCTCAACCGACGGCAGCAACCGCCAGCAGCAGCTACCCCAGCAAGCGCTGCAGCAGCAGCAGCAGCAGCAGCAGCAGCAGCAGCAGCAGCAGCAGCAGCAGCAGCGTGTGGCCCTTACGGATAAGGGGCATATTTGCCACCAAGTTTTGATATCTTCTTCTGTCTCTTTTTCTGTCTCCATTTGTTTTTCTTCTGTCTCACTTTGTGTCTCTCTAGATTTTAGCTCTTCAGCAGCAGCAGCAGCAGCAGCAGCAGCAGAAGCAGCAGCAGGAGCTGCTGCTGCCTTCTCTACTTCTGTTGACTCCTGCAGCGCAGAAGTGGTCGACAGCTGAGCCAGGACACCAGAACTGGCTGCTTCTCGTTGCTGCTGCTGCTGCTGCAGCTGCTGCTGCTGCTGCTGCTGCTGCTGCTGCTGCTGCAGCTGATGACCAGACTTAGGTGAGGCGTCGTCCTGCTCTTGCTGCTGCTCTTGCTGCTGTTGTTGCTGCTGCTCTCGCTGCTGTTCTTGCTGCTGCTCTTGCCGCTGGTCTTGTTGCTGCACGAGGTGCTCCCTTCCTTGCTGCTCCTGTTCTTGCTCTTGCTGCTGCTGCTGCTGCTGCTGCTGCTGCTCTTGCTGCGGCTGCTGCTGCTGTAGCTCGTGTTCCTCCGCATGCGCCCACGCCCCGCTGGTTGTGTCAGAAAGGACAACTTGTTCTGCTGAGTCTGCAGCAGCAGTAGCAGCAGCAGCAGCAGCAGCAGCAGCAGCAGCAGCAGCAGCTTGCCTCCAGTGCCTGCGCAGACGGCCACAATGCTGGCCAAAGTCACCAAAAAGATTCCCAAGTATTGTCGAAAAGAAGCTTCCTTCAAAGACTGCAGCTTCTCAGGCTCCAGGGGGGCCCCCAAGCGACGCACGGGGGCCCCCAGGGGGCCCCCCGGGGGGCCCCCCCCGCTGCTGCTGCTGCTGCTGCTGCTGCTGCTGCTGCTGCTGGGGGGGGGGCTGCAAGGGCCTCCGGGGGGGAAGAGCTGCAGCAGGGCTGCCGGTGCTGCAGGCTGCTGCTGCGGCAGCAGCGGCGACTGGCTGCTGCTCTGCTGCAGCAGCAGCAAAAAGAAAATGCCGCAGCAGCAAATCAAACAAAGGGGGCCCCACAGCAGGGGCCCCCAGCAGCTTCGGGGGCCCCCCGGGGGGCCCCCAGGGATTCGGGGGGACTTCTGCTGCTGAAGCAGCAGCTGGGCGCATGCAGCAGCAGCTGGACGGTTTGCTGCTGCAGCGGACTCCCTGCTGCTGCCGCGGCTGCTGCTGCTGCTGCTGCTGCTGCTGCTCCTGGTCCAGTCATGCTGCTGCGGGAGCTGCTGCTGCGCTTGAGACAAGTACATAGCGGCGCGGGCGAGCTCGTGGGAACTGCGCAGCAGCAGCTTCTGGCTGCGTCACTGCTGCTGCTGCTGCTGCTGCTGCTGCTGCTGCTGCTGCTGCTGCTGCTGCTGCTGGGTCCTGGGCCGTGTGAATGAAAGGCACCCCCCTCAGGGCCTTGCTGCAGCTGTCTGGCTGCCACTTCTTCTCAAATATTATTTATTTATTTATTTATTTATTTATTTATTTTTATTTTAATTAATAAATCCAAAATAAACAAAAGAATGAAACAACCAGCCCCAGCCTCCAGCTGTCTATACACTCCGCCGGTCACGGCCTTCCAGCCAGTGGGGCCCCGGGGGCCCCCAGTGTGACAAACCCTAAACCCTAAACCCTAAACCCTAAACCCTAAACCCTAAACCCTAAACCCTAAACAGTAAGCAATAAATAACAAATCGTAGAGATACGCGAAACCCTAAACCCTAATGAGAGGTTGACAAGAAATGTCCGCCCAAGATAAACCCCAGAACCTCAACTCTCTAAACCCTAGTTGCCTCTCCAAGCCCTCAACCCTAAACCCTAAACCCTAAACCCTAAACCCTAAACCCTAAACCCTAAACCCTAAATTTTGAACCCTGTAAGCAGCATTACGGCTTCTCGTTGCCGCAGTCTACCCTTTTTTCAAACGCTAAACCCTTAACCCCAAACCCTAAACCCTAAACCCTAAACCCTACACACTAAGCAGCAGCAGCACAGCAGCTGCTGGACTTTGGTGCAGCAAAGCCCACAGAAGCTCCAGAGCTAGGGTTTAGGGTTTAGTAGGTTGGCCGTAACACCCACCATGAGGGTTTAGGGTTTAGGGTTTGCTGCTGCCCCTGAGGCGCTACTACTGAACTGCAGCATCTGCAGCAAAGCCACATGAAGCAGCAGCAGCAGCAGCAGCAGCAGCAGCAGCAGCAGCAGCAGCAGCACCAATCTGTCTACTTCTATCTGCTGCTGCTGCTGCACAGTCTTCCCTCAGCTGCAAACGCCACAGGTTACACTCTAAGTCCATAAAACAGCTGCTGCTGCTGCTGCTGCTGCTGCAGCTACAGTTGCTGCTACTGTTACAGTTGCAAATGCTGCAGCTACAGCTGTTGCTGCTGCTGTCGCAGCTGTTGCTGCTGCAGCTACAACCGCTGCTGCTGCAGGCACAGGCGTTGCTGCAACCACAGCTGCAGCAGGTGCAACAGCTGCTGCAGCAGCAGCTGCTGCAGCTGCAGCAGCTGCAGCAGCTGCAGCAGCTGCAGCAGCAGCTGCTGCAGCAGCAGCAGCAGCTGCAGCAGCAGCTGCTGCAGCAGCAGCAGCAGCTGCAGCAGCAGCAGCAGCAGTCTACTGGGCCTCAGCGTGCTCCAGGAGAGGCTGCATAGCTTCCTTTTGGAGCTGTTCTTGCTGCTGCAGCTGCTGCTGCCGCTGCTGCATGTGCAGCAGCAGCAGCTCGAGGCGGGCCTTGATAGTGACAAGGGCCCCCTCGAGCTGCCTGCGCTGCTGCAGCAGCTGCTGCAGCAGCACGAGCTGCTGCCGGCCCTCAGCAGCAGCAGCAAAGAAGGGCGCGTGCTGCTTCACAAGTTCCTCGACCCAGGGCCCCTTGCAGATGCTGCTGCTGGGCTTTTGCTGCTGCTGCTGCACCAGCAGCTGCAGCAGCGACAGAGCCTCAGCAGCAGACAGTGCTGCTGCTGCTGCTGCTATTTCCCGCTTCTTCAAATGGCTCTTCGAAAGCACTGTTTCCAGCAGCAGCAAATCGCCCGTCAGCAGCGCCTGCCGCAGCACGGAAGCCACCCCGCTGCTGCTGCTGCTGCTGCTGCTGCTGCTGCTGCTGCGGGCCGTTGCTGCTGCTGCTGCTGCTGCTGCCTCCTGCCGCTGCTTCTTCGTCGCCTCGCCGTCTCCGCTGCTGCTGCTGCTTGCTGCTGCTCTCTTCAGCGACGCAACAGCAACGTCCGTCGGCATTATGGCTCCTGCTGCTGCTGCTGCTGCTGCTGCTGCTGCTGCTGCTGCTGCTGCTTCGTGCGTCCGCTTCTTCCCGCTGCTGGTGCTGCTGCGGCGGCGCCGCTGCTGCTGCTCTTCTGCTGTCAGCGGGGAGACGCGCTGCAGCCCCCGCCTGCTGCTGCTGCTGCTGCCCGTGGGCATCGGCAGCAGCAGCAGCTCTTCTGCTGCTGCTGCTGCTGCTGCTGCTGCTCCTGCAAACGGCACTGCTATGTGGCACACAGGGTCCAGCAGCCCCCCACGCGCCACCAGCAGCCCTTGCTGCTGCTGCTGCTGCTGCTGCTGCTGCTGCTGTATGAAGAAGACTCCAGTGTCTGCCTCCTCCGCTCCCTTTGCTGCTGCTGCTGCTGCTCGCGTTGCTATTTGCTGCTGCGGCAGCGAGGGCACTGCAGCAGCTGTGGGGTCTATACTCCAGGCGACCAGCTGCTGCTGCTCCGTGAGACAAACCAGCAGCGGCTGCTGCTGCTGCTGCTGCTGCTGCTGCTCTTCATCATCATCTTCTGCGCTGCTGCTGCTGCTGCTGCTGCTGCTGCCAAGGAACGTCAGCTGCAGCAGCCGCTGGTGATAGGCCAAAACTCCCCACAAAGGCACCTTAACCTTCTTGCTGCTGCTGCTGCTGCTGCTGCTGCTGGAAATGAGCTGCTGCGGCAGCCGCCAGAGGGCAATTTGCTGCTGCTGCTCGCCGTGGGCCCCTTTGCTGCAGACAGCAGCAACAACTCCAGCAGCAGCATCAGCAGCAACAGCACTGAAGCCAGCAGCACCCCCCTGCAGCTTCGCGACCAGCTGCTGCTGCTGCAGGTCGAACAGCACGAGGTTGCTGCTGCTGCCGCTGCTGCTGCTGCTGCCGCTGCAGAGCAGCACCAGCTGCCGCGCTGCTGCTGCTGCTGCTGCACCCGGCCTCTCCTGCTGCTGCAGCAGCTTCGCGTGGCTGAAGCCCCGCCCCACATCTGCTGCTCGCAGCACCTGCCCCTGCTGCAGCAAATCAATTACAATAAGTGAGGAGACTGTGGGGCTTCTCCGCAGCAGCACCAGCAGCTCGCTGCTGCTGCTGCTGCTGCTGCTGCTGCTGCTGCTGGGGAGCGGCAGCAGGGCGCGCACAGCCGCAGAGCCGCCGGTGCCCGCAGCAGCAGCAGCTGCTGTTGCTGCTGCTGCGTCCTCCTCCTCTGCTGCTGCTGCTGCTGCTGCTGCATTCAGCTGCACAGAAAAGAGAAGGGCTCCCCCGTTGCTGCAGTCCATAGCAGCAA